AGGTTGGTCCATTGGCACATGGCAAATACCAATGCATTTTACAAAATGCGATATATCATTACCTATAGACATTATAATTGTCTTTTGTTTGATTTTTGGTGCTTTTTTTAGGTTTTTAATTACAGTATTAGTGGTTTACTAAAGTTCATTTTCTCCCTAACCCTAATCAAAGTAGGCATTAGGAGTTTTAGCACAACGCTCTATGAGAAACAAATTAAAGGGCATTGTTTATGAGTGTTCTTTAAGATTCATGTCCTTGTGCATGCTGGACAGAGAGAAAACTTTAAATCCTTTTTATATCCATTCAATAGGAATCATGTATTCTTACAACCAAAGTAATTATAACATTACATGGAAAACTAATTTGAGACCATAAATCAATTTCCACATTTAAAGAAATCAGTAGTTGCAAAGTAGAAAATCCAACATTGTTAATACTTGGATTGATCCAATATGATTGCAACAGAAATGCAAAAGTACCTTAATCAGAAATTATCAAGTTTTCGTAGTTTTGATTTATGACAGTGCTAATTTGGCAAATTTGCATTTAGTTTTCTCCAGAAATACTTTTTGAATTTACAGTTTGAAGAAAGAAAAAATCTACATACGAATTGATTCTCACAGATATCAAATTAATCTATAATCCAGTGACAAAAAAAAGAACAAAGCCTACTTCTATACAAATAAGAGCTCGAAAGAAAGAAGAAACCAGTGAAGCTGATTACATACGAAGAGGTGAAAAAGAAAGGTCAATGAAAATCTAAATGAAGAGGAGAAAACTAAACTAACCCCACTTTGGTTTTACAGATCTTTCCATACTTTGTAGTCACTGGTTGAGCTGTTGTTCGGCATATTACTGTCTTGACAGCCTATGAAGAAAGTAGAACGCACAGGATCAACATTTACTAGAGCATGAGCCGTGCCACTCGGACTAACCGCTACAGCTACTTCATCCTCTCCAATTACCACTTCGGCGTAACCTTTTTCGACCTTGTGGTTCTCCAGCTGCACGCATTCATATAAAAATATCCACAAACAATGTTAGATTAATGAGTTTGGTTTATTTTGACCCAAGAGAAGGAAGTGGAAAACCGTCACAACAATAAGCAAGACAATCTCTTAGGAAGCCCATTACCCACATCAATAAACATTTACAGGACGTAGTTCGTTTTATTCAAACTAAAACGCTGATTGGTGGTGGTTTCAGTGATCTGTGAGCATTTGACTGACGATATTAGTCCAATTGTCAAGATACAAAAACATGTTTATGATAGATTCAGAAGTGATGCTCTTGCTCTCCATTATTTCTCAATGAAAACAGATACATAGCAGCATCAAAGACAAATACAGCGAACCAAATCGAAACTGTTATCGAGGGTTTGTTCTAGATACCCTAAACAATCCCAAATACCAGCCTGCTCCAGCATTTGTTCAATCCTCAAACTTATACTCATCAAACGACCATCTAACATGTTAACACATGGTTAGCTAAACTGGCATGGGATTAGCCAAATCTCTGAACTATCTTATATCTTCGTTACCAAGACTTAGCACTTCAATAAACAAAAATAGATATTCCTTCTTACTAAAAGTTTCAACAGAATATAATTCTTCGATTATGTTCTAGCAATGAGGTGGATGATGAGACTTACCCTGAATTTTGTCTTGGCTCCCCATATGACGAAGGTCTCATTACAGGTATGGTGTCTGTGGTTCCCCCTCAATCCACCAGGGCGGATTTCACCAACATGAATGGAGAGACACGAGGCAGCTCCACCTGCAGACAAGCGAAAAGAGAAAACCTGGAATGTCAATCTCCAGCACCGAGAAAAGAGAAAACATTGGATTACACAAAAACCTCCTTCAAGGTCTATGCTGGTCACTCCTAAGATTACCACTCACAGAGTGGGCAAAGACAAAAAGTTTTCATGACCAAAAATTGGTGAACACCAAATCAATCACTCTTTTCTTCTAAAACAGCATGTAAAGCTGAAACTAACCCACCATCTTCATCAACCTACATGGCTTCTAAAACCCACTTCATCTATGCTTCTGTTCCTTCAACACATTTACCTGAGAAATCTATCGACAATGCCTATTTCCCCTAGGTCTCACGGATGCTGATACTCGATAATGATAATTAAGCTAAGAATTTTCTCAGTTGCATCATAATCAAGAACATTTCGGTTTAGCGAATTCCTGAATAACAATCAGACCCAGGCTCAGAAGCGGAATCAATCAGACCCAGGCAAGAACACGAACCTTTGAGCCGAGAATCACGAGCAAGGACAACGGGATCAAGCAACCATCCACGGTCGTCTTTTCGGACAGGGGAGAGAGATGCTAAGCTGAACCGGACCAGATTAACCTTATCGTCGCCGTCGAGGATTCCCAAATCGGGATTACTTCTCTCTTGTGCTGATTTCGGATGTGAAGAAGACGAAGACGAGTGCTGTAACCTGAGAGAGATCCATGTGAGGAAGACGAAGAAACCGAGAAGCAAAGGAAACGCTAAAGGCTTCTTCAGTAGATTGATCAATATCCTCTGGTTCTCAATCACTATCCTCCTAGTGTTCACCATCTTTTCTTCCTCTGTCTCTGTTATGTGATTTACTTGATAATTAATTTTTTCCTTTACAGATATTTAATTTTGGATTACTCGAAATTAATTATGGGAAAGACAAATTGGACTATATATTTGGTGGGTTGAGCCAGGCCCGTGCAGTAGTGCAACGCATGGGCGACTCGTGAAAGCCCAGATAGCAAGCTATCTTAATGGGCCTTCTCCCTAAAAAAATAGAGTTAATATCGTGTGGCCCGATGGACCACATATCAGATATTAAACTGATAAGAACAGATACTACACTTGATCTTAGCCAAAAGGCCGAGAAAGGTATGAGTTGTTGGTAGTGCTTAGCGTCCTATTTATACTAACAAGGTATGACCAACGCTTCTCTTTATTATCGATGTGGGACTTTAGACAAATAGACTTTTTGTACAACAATCAATACGACGTAGCTTTCATCTCCTGATGAAGAAAGATGGAAATTTTCGAAACTTTTATTCCAAAAAAAAAGGAAGAATGGAAGAAGATGTTTCAGTGAATCAATCGTATTATTAACTTTTATCGATCTGCAATTCAAATACAAGTCTTTACAGACAAGAGTCGCAAGACTGGAGCATTGTTTGCTAGTAGATTTGAAGGTTTGGTTCTTTCTCTTCGAGTTCGTGATTTGTAAAGTTTGAGACCTGAGCTTTTGTCTTCAATGACGCTAAAGTCTTCACAACCTTCATGTATTGGTTTCACAGGCATAGAGGGGACACAGCTTGTCAAATTTTGCTGACCACTGTACATTCTTGAGCCAGGTTTCGCCGGTGTTTGTTGTTGCTTTCCGAGGTCTGAGCTAAAACCTGTGTCCAGCCAAAAGAGTTTTTCACAAGAACGTAAAGATTTGCATAAAATGAATGATAATCTGTCTAAACTTCATACTTGAATGAGTCTAGGAACAGTCCAAGGGCGAGTCCTGTCTTCCAATAGTTAAACATGGTGATTGTGCTCCGCATCTTGTTGATTAATGGAATGGATGCTCTGTACATTAAAGCTCCGATGCATTCAACTACAATAACAGCCAATGCAGCTGATAGAACATCCCAGTCTCCCGTTTGTCCAATAAATGTAGAGAATGCAGTTGCAGAGTAGAAACCAACCAAAAGAAAGAATAGTTTCATGGGGAGATCTTTCTTTATCTCCTGAATTTTCACCAGAAGCTTTGTTCTGAGATCTTGTATGGCTTTGATTAATCTTGGACGTCTGGAGCTTTTATTACTTGATGAACCAGATGGTGGATCGACTCTGCCCCCACTAACCGAGCTCCTGATCATTGTCCAGGACATTCTCCTGGAAATGCAAAATACACACCTAAAATTGGATACTGGAAAGAGGAGTTCATCATAGGATCTTCTTTAAGACAAAGTATAATCTCACAAGAATCGACAAGCCTAAGCGTACAAAAGGTAATTAGATACAAGCAATTGGCTTGGAGGCCTAAGGACTTCACTACTCCATACTAAATACAATAAAGCACAAAAAAACATGATTTAGATATATGGTTGCTTTTTATGTAACAGTGAATTATAGTGGCTAGTTATGGTCTTCTTCATAGAACATTTACAGAGAATTGCACAAGAGATTCAAGTTATACCAAAATCCTCCATCTCTTTGTGTTTCAAGCAGATCATCACATAAACAGCCACAGTTACTATAATTTGATCATATCAGGAATTCTATAACTTGAAAGCCACAAAGCACTGATGCTTCCAAAGTTAAAAACTCGCCTTTGATGTCTGACCAACAAAGGCTGTGCAGGATGAAGGAAATGACAGAGAGAACACAACCCCAAGCAAATGGTAAGAGACGAAGCACCTTTGTCTCTGAAACTACTCTTTGGTAAATAGAAGTTACTTCCACAGTTAGGTAATGACACCGTGATGGCTAATCCCATGAAACAGCTAGAAGAAATGTTGGTCTTCTGACCCAGATGCAGCTACTTCCTAGACCACAAAGTTCAAGCATATCAATTTCACAATCCAATCAAACATCAAAATAGCAACTCTTCTTGACAAAACCAATGTGTCTTGTTTCAACAACAAGCTGGTAAACAAAGAGCTAGCTTTACAGTTCAAGAAATTGGAGTTCCATTAATAAACTCGCAGAAAGAAAGTTGAAGTCATAAACGGAGAAGGTACAAGTAACCAGAAACTGGATTCAAGAACCACACAAGCCCAACATATTAAAAGGTGAAATCAAATACTTGTACAATTCAGCAAGGCATTACCACAAATACCTTGTAGACAACTCAAGAAAACACTAACTTTACCCAAATTCCTAAGTTCCTCCACGCCCATTACTCTAAAATTAATCCCAAAATCAATCCTTGCGGCTGTCTACTGATAAAAGAGTTGAAATTGAAATTCAAAACGGTGAGAAAAATGGTACCAGCCGGCCATATCAATGGCT